AGAGGGTGGCTGCAAGAAGGAATTATTTCTGGAAGCAGGATTACACGATGCCACACAAGCAGGAGAACACAGTCATGGGTCTCTGAAAATTTCTGCATCCACATCAACTCTTACATCTGGCCACCTAACTAACTGACTGCAATACCTTTGGTTATTATGTGTAGGGCACAGTTGAATGAGAGACCAACAAAACTTTTTGTAACACCAAAGATGAACTGAAGACAAGGATAATGGCAGTATTCACCAACTTAAACAAAGAGACCGTCCAGGAGATTCCAAAGTCGCCTGCAGGCCGTGTCTAAAGCCAATGGCGGTTTTATTGAATAAATTTACGCTTCAGTATTTGAAGATATTTTTGTGTGATTTTGGTAAATATATCTGTTAAAATGAGATGTCAGTGTTATTTTCATTTGAGTGTAATTTAGACGACATTCTGTAATGACAAGGGCTGCTTTAAAAACTGTTTTCTTAAGAAAAACACCATGGCCGACATTTTGGGGCGACATACAATATATATATATATATATATATATATATATATATATATATATATATATATATATAATTATTTATTTAAAATATGATTCCAAATCGCGACATAAAAAGTCCCATATTTCAAAACAAGAGCCGAAAATTTCAATATAATTATTTAAATTATTTAAATTAAATTGAGTTAAAATAAGCTCTGTTCCATCTTCAAGCGAAAAAAAAAATTTCGCTTGAAGATGGAACAGATCTTATTTTAACTCAATTTATTTTAAATAATTTAAATAATTATATTGAAGTTTTCGGCTCTTGTTTTGAAACATGGGACTTCTTATGTCGCGATTTGGAATCATATTTTTAAATAAATAATTATATTTATGCTCTACTTTTGTATCGAGCACTATTTTTTAAAATAATAACTAAAATACTAAGGGACTTTGGATTATTTACCTAACCAGTTCCTTCCTATTTTCTATATATTTTCACATATTATATATATATATATATATATATATATATATATATATATATAATTTAAATAAAAACAGACCACTTTTATGGTTCCATGTAATAAATTATTTCACCACAGCCTTTTAAAGGACTGCGGATAGAGATGTTAACTTAATCAATAATTAAAAAAAAAAATTTTTAAAACTTATATTTTAAAATAAAATTTTATTCTTTTAATGTACTTTACATGAATATTTTTTCTAATCGACTATTTCATGGAAAATCCCCAAAATTTTTAAAAAATTTAAATCACTAACAAACATCAAATTAAATTCTTTGTAGACAGTTTAGACATTCAAATTTATATCAGACATTATAATCTTTATGAACCCCTAAAATAACACTTTCAAAGTAAAGCTAGATTACAGCGTCTTTTTCGCCTTCTTTCAAAAGAATATTAGTGACACCTTCTCTCATGACGTCCTTCTCTCTTTTTCTTTTTTCTCCTCTACACCTTTTTTATATCAATATATAACTTCCGTTAAGTTAACCGTTTAATTGTGTCAATGCCTGGACCTCCTCAAGTAATTTTAAGTATGAAAGAATAGAAATATTAAATTACATCTAACTCACTTCTAACTTCTCTCTCCCCCTCACTTCCTCACTTCGTTAATTTACATATGTTTAATACGGCCCGTCAAAAATGTGTAAATTTCTTTTCATTTTTCGTTTCAACCTTTGGAAGTAAAGTCTGATGATCCACAGTCCTTTAAAAGGGCTGTGGTGAAATAATTTATTAGATGGAACCTTAAAGTGGTCTGTTTTTATTTGAATTATTTCCTCTGGATTTACATTGATCTCTCTGGATTTTATCATCCTTGGGTCTACCCATACGGATTACCTAGTTTTTCATAAACTATATATATATATATATATATATATATATATATATATATATATATATATATATATATATATGCGTTTGTGCGTGAGAGAGAGTGTGTGTGTATATGTAGAGATATAGAGTTAATGGGAGACCTATGGGTGTATAAATTGTCTGCATCTGTCTCCCCTACACATATATATGTATATGCATATATCTCAGGTAATTTTTATTTTTTATTTATTCAAATGACAGATTGTAATCACTTTAAACGATATTTTTAGTGAATACTTATATTTATTATCTAAGAAAATTACTTTGTTTAACCCTTCCGGCCTGACCAGCGCTTTACCGGTGGTAGAGAAAAATGACTTAAGGCCCAGCCACCGGTTGAACGGTGGGTAAACACTTGTAACTATTTTTATATCTAACGGGAAACATTACTTAGCAATTATTTGCGAATTTTTACTCAGGAGTTCAGGAACTGTTCAGAAACGCAAGTCTCAAAGGGTTTAATCAATATTTCTTAATTTTCTTTTTCTTTATTCCCGTTTCCTCCGTGGTCAAGAAATAAAACGACATTTCTTTTCCCGCTTCTTTCATTCCTTTTCCTCATTCTTTCTTAACCCTTTCAGCCCTGACTACCGCTTTTCCGATGGTAGGGAAAAATGACTTAATGCCCAGCCACCGGTTGAACGGTGGTAGGTAAAAATGACTTAATGCCCAGCCACTGGTTGAACGGTGGTAGGGAAAATGACTTAATGCCCAGCCACCGGTTGAACGGTGGTAGAGAAAAATGGCTTAATCCCCAGCCACCGGTTGAACGGTGGTAGGTAAAAATGACTTAATGCCCAGCCACCGGTTGAACGGTGGTAGGTAAAAATGACTTAATGCCCAGCCACCGGTTGAACGGTGGTAGGTAAAAATGACTTAATGCCCAGTCTCCGGTTGAACGGTGGTAGGAAAAATGACTTAATGCCCAGCCATCGGTTGAACGGTGGTTGGGAAAAATGACTTAATGCCCAGTCGCCGGTTGAACGGTGGTAGGGAAAATGACTTAATCCCCAGCCACCGGTTGAACGGTGGTAGAGAAAAATGACTTAATGCCCAGCCACTGGTTGAACGGTGGTAGGGAAAATGACTTAATCCCCAGCCACCGGTTGAACGGTGGTAGAGAAAAATGGCTTAATGCCCAGCCACCGGTTGAACGGTGGTAGGGAAAAATGACTTAATGCCCAGCCGCCGGTTGAACGGTGGGTAAACACTTGTAACTATTCTTATATCTGCTGTGAAACATTACATACAAATTATTTGCGAATGTTGACTCAGGAGCTCAGGCAGAAAGGGTTAAAACTGTTCAGTAGCGCAGGATTCAAAGGGTTAATCAATATTTCTTATTTCTCTTTCCTTATTTCCGTCTCCTCCATAGTCAAGAAAGAAAGACAACATTTCTTTTCCTGCTTCTTTTCATTCTTTCATTCCTTTTCCTCATTCTTTCTTAAACCTTTGAGCCCTGACCACCGATTTACCGGTGGTAGAGAGAAATGACGTAACGCCCATCCACCGGTTGAACGGTGGTAGTGAAAAATGACGTAATGTCCAACGACCGGTTGAAAAGAAAAATGACATAATGCCCAGCCACCAGTTGAACGATGGGTAAACACTTGTAACTATTTTTATATCTACCGTGAAACATTACATACCAATTATTTGCGAATTTTGACTCAGGAGCTCAGGCAGAAGGATTAAAATGGTTAAAAGGCTCAAAGGGTTAATCAATATTTCTTACATGACTTTCCTTATTTCCGTCCATCTTCATTCATGGCTGTCTTTCTTTCTTTCTTTCTTAACATTTCTTTCTTTTTTTTTATTGCTTCTTCAATATAACATTCTTTTTTTTTCTTTATCGCTGTGTCTTAAGTCTTTTCTTCTTCTTTATCAACTTTAATATTTCTTCATCGACATTTTTTTTACCAATATTTTTTCTTTTTTTTACCTTTCTTTCTCCCCCGTGCTCAAGAAAGAAAGACAACATTTCTTTCCCTGCTTCTTTTCCTTCTTTCAAACGTTTTCGCCATTCTTTCTTAACCGTTTGAGCCCTGACCACCGCTTTACCGGTGGTAGAGGAAAATGACTTAACGCCGATCTACCGGTTGAACTATTTTTATATCTACCGTGAAACATTGCATTGCAGTCATTTGCGAATTTTGACCCAGGGACTCAGATAGAAGAGTTAAAATTGTTCAGGAACGCAGGGGTCAAAGGATTAAGTTCGGATACGAAACTGGGCACATATGGCAACAGATTCCTAACTTTACATCATTTTTTTTTTTTTTTTTTTTGCTTCACTTTCCCTTCTCTAAACTTTAAAACAAGATACTAGGCTGGCCTACTTCACTTCATTTTTGTCTTTTTTCATATTATGGCGAGAAGCCATCACAATTCGGGAAAAAAATCCACAATTTTCAATATAATCTTTTTCACCTCAATAAATTTAAGAATAGAAAATCCACGACTCTTTTTGCATCCAGGACTTCCGTTGTGTTTCTCCCGTTTGAAAACAAAATATAAAACCGTACACATCTTGCCTCGGGTGAACGATCTCGTCGTCGTCGGCATTTTGATGGCAAATGGTGTTAACTACCTCCAGTTGCCGCGTGTGTTTATCGTCGTTAATTGAATGCATCTGCTATTGCATTGTTCGTCCTAGACGTGCAAGAACCTGGATGTTCGACAGGAATTTAATTAGATGGCACCAAGACAGAAAAGGATGTGTGGAAAGCAGGATGGAGGCGAATGAATTTGACGTTGCATTTTAAGAACTTCTGTGTTCGTTCGACACTGATTAATATCCGGAGCTGCAAGATTGAAACGAAAGTCGAGAATGAATTAGACAAGATGCGAACGTCGAATAAGGATTCCTCTCAAATGGGAAGCAGGAGAGGGATGGGTCAATTTTAAATGAGTCAAGAAACGAAGGGAAAAATGGATTAATCAATTATTATCTTCTATCGCACCGTTTCCGCTTCATGGCTGCTATTATTATTATTATTATTATTGTGGCTGTTGTTATTATTATTATTACTTAGACATGTTTATAGAATGCAAAAATAATTGTTGCTAAGTGGATGATTAGGAAAATAGAGGGATCATTTGGATTATATAAAAAGGTAATGAACTCCTAGTGATAAGATAGATAGATAGATAGATAGATAGATAGATAGATAGATATGAATCTGTTAACAGATAAATATAAATATATATAAATATATATAGAGAGAAAGATACCAATTAAATATATATATATATATATACATAGAGAGAGAGAGAGAGATAATGAGGTAAATATGAACATATCGACATAGATAGATAGATAGATAGATAGATAGATAGATAGATAAATAGATAAAGAGAGAATGAGATAGATATGAATCTGTTGACAGATAAATATAAATATATATAAATATATATATATATACATAGAGAGAGATAATGAGGTAAATATGAACATATCAACATAGATAGATAGATAGATAGATAGATAGATAGATAGATAGATAGAAACTGACTGTGATAGATAGATAGATAGATAGATAGATAGATAGATAGATAGATAGATAGATAGATAGATATGAATTTATTGACAGATAAATATAATTATAAATATATAGAGAGACAGAGATAATTAGGTAAATATGAACATATCGACATAGATAGATAGATAGATAGATAGATAGATAGATAGATAGATAGATAGATAGATAGTGAAAACACTGAGATAGATAGATAGATAGATAGATAGATAGATAGATAGATAGATAGATAGATTGCAAAATAGTTAAGTGGTGCTAATGTTTCGTGATCAGTCAAGGATAAAAAAACCGGTAAACCAATGAAATATGAAATCTTTAATAGCCATAAATCAAAGCATTAACAATCGCTCGAAGCCAGAAGCTGGCATTGAATGCTTGAATTCTTTAACAAAGGACAAACCGAAAATCAAAATAGAAATTCCAAGGATCTAAACGAAAGTTCCATAGACGTGCCTAATCAGACATGATATATCAAATAACTAATTACGTTTCAAAGAAGAACCTAATATCAATATAAAAGCCCCAAGGAATGATATAATGCCGAAATACAAGTTTGACACCCATTAACACAAAAGGCTAGCACAAATCAAGGCAATAAAGACGCAAGGTGCTATTGTATGTGAAGGAATATGAGAAAAATACTATTAAGGAGAGAAAACAATGCAAGAAAAGAAATTAAGATATCAGAAGATAGCGATTGATATTGCGTTTAAATTTTTGAAGATCAAATGTTACTGAAGAGAGTTCCACAAGCGAAGAGTTCGAGAGAAGAAACTATTAGCAGAGAACTTACGGTTACATCTAATAATTTCAACTGTAAAATGATGAGACCTAGCCGCCAACCTAGTACGGCTCATAAATTTATAACCTTGATATCATAGAGGAAGGTTCATCAGAACAATTACTATGAAAGTATTCAAGGGAAAAGCACGGGTAAGCTACGTTACGGCGAGGGGAAAGTGACTGAAGCCGAGATGCCAGGTCAGGATCAATAACATTGCAGATTCTTCTTTCGATTTTATCAAAGGTCTCTAAATATATAGCAGAAGCACCAGACCAGATGCAATATTCAAAGCAAGGATGAATGGTAGAATTATAACTATGTAAGATAGATTCTTCTTTGGATTTTATCAAGAATCTCTAAATATATAGCAAGAGTACCAGACCAGACGTGGCAGTAATATTCAAAGCAAGGATGAATAGTAGACTTATAAATATGTTTCGTTGTTTAATCGCATTTTCCGTTTGATTCTTTCAACTTCAATGTCCAGTGAGTGTTAGTTTACGATCCCTTCAAAAATAAAAATATCATTATAAAGCATGAAGTGAGGATTGAACTCCCTATACAGTCGTAATTGATCGAGGGAGGCAAGCTTGTTAACCATTATACCTCGTTGAATTATCCCCGAAATACAAATTACGTGTATGGATATGAAACCGAAACTTGTTTTCTAAGGTTAGACTTAATATCTAAATAGAAGTTCCAAGAATTGACATAATATCGAAATATATATTACAAGGATTGATATAATATCGAAACAGAAGTTCTAAGAATTGACCTCATGTTGAAATATATTTACCAAATATAGACCTAATAACATAGTAGAAATTCAATGGATCAAACTAATATCAAAATAGAACAGAAAAATAAGAACCTAATTAATAAATTGAAGTGTCAAGGATAAAATTAATGCCATAATAGAAAATTATGTAGAAAATAAAGAAAGAAAGAAAGAAAACAATACTGAATGTAAGAAAGTGAAAAGAACGGAGAAATTGGTTGAATTTAAATGAGATGACCACATTAGTTGGGATCGAATGAGGACCCAACTTAGTGCGAATGAACAACCAGAAGTAACCATGACTACACGCTGAGATAGATAGATAGATAGATAGATAGATAGATAATGTGAACTAATAGATAGATAGATAGATAGATAGATAGATAGATAGATAGATAGATAGATGTGAACTAACGGATAGATAGATAGATAGATAGATAGATAGATAATGTGAACTAATAGATAGATAGATAGATAGATAGATAGATAGATAGATAGATGTGAACTAACGGATGATAGATAGATAGATAGATAGATAGATAGATAATGTGAACTAATAGATAGATAGATAGATAGATAGATAGATAGATAGATAGATAGATAGATAATGTGAACTAACGGATAGATAGATAGATAGATAGATAGATAGATAGATAGATAGATAGATAGATACTGTCACTCTCTAAAATCATTGACAGTGACATATAGCTGAATTCCTCATTCCTATTTATTTATCAAACAGCTTGGACAACGAAAATGTCACAGTCGTAATCCTGTGACCTTTTGGCTAGCCACATTTGTGGATCTGTCTCTTACTTACCTTGGATCAGTAAAGACTTTGGTGCTGTGTATTTTTTTTTTTTTTTTTTTTAACCGAGACTCCTGCCTTCATCTTCCAATGACAAGTTCTTTGAAATGTTTACGTCTTCAAATGATCGTCAGTAAAAGCATACACTGAATACGCCAGACCATAATGTTTTGTTGTCATATGTTAGACATTTATAATCAAAATCCCAGCCATAATCATATTTCTTTCTACAAAAGAGTTATCGGTAGACGCCATGTTGTTGGTAAACACAAAAAGTAAACTTCAGGACCTATTAGTCAAAGGGGGAAAGGAGAATCAAATGAAAAGAACGGAAACGATTTACCCCCTGTAGATTAAATAAAGAGTTCGGATCGAAAACCCTTCTATGTTACCCAGACCGACGTACACCTGATGAAGGCCGGAGGGCATATCAACCGAAAAGGTATGATAGTAACAACAAAGATGAGGATAGTAGACCTCATGTAAATACTCTAAATAATAATGATAAGTCCTCATCCTAAAAATTTAGATGGAAAAAAGGATTAGCTATAAATTGCAAGAAAACAAAAATGTCTGTCTATATTTCTGAGATGAGGTATTATATACATTATTTACATTATTCGGACTATTGTCCTCATCTTTATCGCCATTTTTATCAAAACGTTTCGGCCGTTGTACGCTCCGGCCTTCTTCAGGTGGTTGGAATGTCGAACTGAGCCCTTTCTTTCGCACGCTGGGAAAGACTGTTCTAGTTCCACGTGCCATGTCTAATGGATGTCAGTTATCAGTGATCTCCTGTTAATTTCCCTCTCCAAGGTATCCACTGCCTTAACCGTGTATTGAAGTCACACTCCTTGTTTATTAACCTTTTAAACATTCAATGATAGTATCTGTCTATATTTCTGAGATGAGGTATTATGTACACTATTTACATTATTCGGACTATTGTCCTCATCTTTGTTGTCATATTTATTACAACGTTTCGGCCTTTCAGTATCTGTTTATATTTCTGAGATGAGGTATTATGTACACTATTTACATTATTCGGACTATTGTCCTCATCTTTGTTGCCACATTTATCACAACGTTTCGGCCCTTCAGTATCTGTCTATATTTCTGAGATGAGGTATTATGTACACTATTTACATTATTCGGACTATTGTCCCCATCGTTGTCGCCATATTTATCACAACGTTTCGGCCTTTCAGTATCTGTCTATATTTCTGAGATGAGGTATTATGTACACTATTTACATTATTCGGACTATTATCCTCATCTTGCCGCCATATTTATTACAACGTTTCGGCCTTTCAATATCTGTCTATATTTCTGAGATGAGGTATTATGTGCACTATTTACATTATTCGGACTATTATCCTCATCTTGTCGCCATATTTATTACAACGTTTCGGCCTTTCAATATCTGTCTATATTTCTGAGATGAAGTATTATGTACACTATTTACATTATTCGGACTATTATCCTCATCTTGCCGCCATATTTATTACAACGTTTCGGCCTTTCAATATCTGGTTATATTTCTGAGATGAGGTATTATGTACACTATTTACATTATTCGGACTATTATCCTCATCTTGTCGCCATATTTATTACAACGTTTCGGCCTTTCAATATCTGTCTATATTTCTGAGATGAGGTATTATGTACACTATTTACATTATTCGGACTATTATCCTCATCTTGCCGCCATATTTATTACAACGTTTCGGCCTTTCAATATCTGTCTGTATTTCTGAGATGAGGTATTATGTACACTAATTACATTATTCGGACTATTATCCTCATCTTGTCGCCATATTTATTACAATAATAATATGGACCTAGAGCGTGAGTTCAATACCAGGTTAAGGCAGTGGAGGACTTGGAGAGGGGAATTTACAGGATATCTATTAAACATGGCACGTGCAACTAGAACAGTCTACCCCAGTGAGCGAAATAAACTGTTCCAATAAAGGGTCGGAACATTTATATATTCAACACTGAATTAAGTGCATTTACAAGGAAATCCAAATATTTGCTGTGTAAAATAAATGTTCTTTCAGCGATTTACCGAAGTGCTGGTATTTGAAAGAGCAAGCTAACCGATAGACGAACTGAAAACCTTTGCGACAAGAAATCTGTTGCATGTAGAATGGAGAAACTATAATGTGTGAATGCGGTGATGAATAGCGACTCGGAGTGAAACCGGGGAGCCGAGTTCGAATTCCAGTCAGCTTCGTTAGATTCATTTACGTGCAAATAACATTTTGGAAAGGCATGAATCCATCTCTTCTCCTCCAGCTATGGGTTAAATAGGAGGACTTGTATCTTGACATTTCCTTAAAAATTGTTAATACAATATTTACGCACAAAAAACTTACAATGCAAAATACATTTCGGCTTTAAATAACTCACAAATGGTTGATAAGCCGTCAAAAATAAATCAATAATCAGGAATTAATATTTTGTTCACTAGTCTTCTTAAAAACTTAAAGATCTTCTCTAATGTGTCGTATCTCTTCAGGACGAGGGCGATCATAGTTCTTCACTACTTCCTATGTTAATAGCTTTAAGAAAAATCCTCTTACTAACACTCCCAATCCCTGTTTTGACACCCATTAGCACAAAAGGTTTTTTTTTATCATTCCACCCCAAGCAAGGCATACGCACGGTGCTATTGTATGTGAAGGAATATGAGAAAAAATACTATTAAGGAGAGAAAACAATAAAAGAAAAAAATTTAGATGACAGAAGATAGCGATTGATATTGCATTTAAATGTTTGAAAATCAAATGTTACTGGAAGAGAGTTCCACAAGCGAAGAGTTCGAGAGAAGAAACTAGTAATTTCAACTGTAAAATGATGAGACCTAGCCGCCAACCTAGTACGGCCCATAAATTTATAACCTTGATATCATAGAGGAAGGTTCATCAGAACAATTACTATGAAAGTATTCAAGGGAAAAGCACGGGTAAGCTACGTTACGGCGACGGGAAAGTGACTGAAGTCGAGATGCCAGGTCAGGATCAATAACATTGCAGATTCTTCTTTCGATTTTATCAAAGGTCTCTAAATATATAGCAGGAGCACCAGACCAGAAGTGGCAGCAATATTCAAAGCATCGACTAATGGTAGACTTATAAATATGTAAGATAGATTCTTCTTTGTATATTATCAAGAATCTCTAAATATATAGCAGGTGCATCAGACCATATCTGGCAGCAATATTCAAAGTAAGTATGAATGGTAGACTTATAGATATGTAAGATAGATTCTTCTTTGGATTTTATCCAAGAATCTCTAAATATATAGCAAGAGCACCATACCAGATATGGTAGCAATATTCAAAGCAAGGATGAATGGTAGAATTATGACTATGTAAGATAGATTCTTCTTTGGATTTTATCAAGAATATCTAAATATATAGCAAGAGCACCAGACCAGACGTGACAGTAATATTCAAAGCAAGGATGAATGGTAGACTTATAAATATGTTTCTTTGTTTAATCGCATTTTCTATTTGCTTCTTTCAACTTCAATGTCCAGTGAGTGTTAGTTTACGATCCCTTCAAAAATAAAAATGTCTTTATAATACCCCAAAAGGGATCGAACTTCCGTTTGTTCGTTTGAAAAATTGGCAGGAGTGTTATTGCGCGCTTGACACGAAAAGACAGACGTCAGAAGAATCGAATAGAAAGTCAGTGTAAAAGTGAATTAATGCTATTTTAAGACGAAAGGAACATGCAAAGCAAAAAAAATACATACAGGAAAATAAAAGAAAGCGAAAAGGTTGGCATGAATAATAATAGAATGTAACTTTGAATTTCAAATAGACGGACCGGAATGTTTATTCCTTTCTGGGGAGAAAAACTCACCCTGGACATCCTTTATTCCAACCAAACCTTTTATTGAATATTCAGAAAATTTCTTCCACCACTTACTTTAGGCTATGAGCGTTCCTGGATAAAGCAGTCCATTACTGAAAATGATTTTAAAAGATATTTTTTTTTAAAAAGTAAATGGATAAAAGTAACAGAGTTCCATTTCATCCACCCCGACTATTTGAAACTCTGGTGTAGTTACAGACGAGGAGGAGAGGAAGACAAGAAGTAATGTAAAAGGGAGAAGGGTGAAATGAAGAGGTAAATAATTGCCTTTAAAATCGAGAAACAGAAAGAAAGAAAGAAAGAAAGAAAGAAAGAAAGAGAGAAAGAAAGAAAGAACAAGATTTTGAAAGACGAGCATGGTACGAAAGAAAGAAAGAAAGAAAGAAACAAAACAAGATTTTGAAAAACAAACAAAGAACAAAAGAAAGAAAGAAAGAAAGAAAGAAAGAAAGAAAGAAAGAAAGAACAAGATTTTGAAAGACGGACATGGTACGAAAGAAAGAAAGAAAGAAAGAAAGAAAGAAAGAAAGAACAAGATTTTGAAAGACGGGCATGCTACGAAAGAAAGAAGGAAAGAAAAAAAAGAAAGAAAGAAAGAAGACAGGCATTTTGAAAAGAAAAGAAAGAAAGAAAGAAAGAAAGAAAGAAAGAAAGAACAAGATTTTGAAAGACGGGCATGGTAAGAAAGAAAGAAAGAAAGAAAGAAAGAAAGAAAGAACAAATTTTTGAAAGACAAGCATGCTACGAAAGAAAGAAAAATGAAAAAAAAGAAAGAAAGAAAGAAAGAAAAGAATGGTAAGGAAAGAAAGAAAGAAAGAAAGAAAGAAAGAAAGAAAAGAACAAGATGTTGAAAGACGGGCATAGTAAAAGAAAGAAAGAAAAGAAATAAAAGAAAAGAAGAAAGAAAGAAATAAGATTTTGAAAAGACGGGTATGCTACGAAAGAAAGAAGGAAAGAAAAAAAAGAAAGAAAGAAAGAAAGACGGGCATGGTAAGAAAGAAAGAAAGAAAGAAAGAAAGAAAGAAAGAAAGAAAGAAAGAAAGAACAAGATGTTGAAAGACGGACATAGTACGAAAAGAAAGAAAGAAAGAAAAGAAAGAAAGAAAGAAAGAAAGAAAGAAAGAAAGAAAGAAAGAACAAGATTTTGAAAGACGGGCATGCTACGAAAGAAAGAAAGAAAGAAAAAAAGAAAGAAAGAAATACGGGCATGGTACGAAAGAAAGAAAGAAAGAAAGAAAGAAAGAAAGAAAGAAACAAACAAAGAAACAAAGAAACAAACAAACAAACAAAGAATGAAAGAAAGAAAGAACAAGATGTTGAAAGACGGGCATAGAAAGAAAGAAAGAAAGAAAGAAAGAAAGAAAGAAAAAAAAAAGAAAAAAAGAAAGAAAAGAAAAAAAAGAAAAGAACAAGATTTTTTGAAAGACGGGCATGGTACGAAAGAAAAAGAAAGAAAAAAGAAAGAAAAAAGAAAGAAAGAACAAGATTTTGAAAGACGGGCATAGTACAGAAAAAGAAAAGAAAGAAAGAAAGAAAGAAAGAAAGAACAAGATTTTGAAAGACGGGCATGCTAATAAAGAAAGAAAGAAAAGAAAAAAAAAAAAGAAAGAAAAAAATAAAGACGGGCATGGTAAGAAATAAAGAAAAAAATTTTGAAAGAAAAAGAAAAGAATGGAAAGAAAAAAAAAGAAAGAAAGAAAGAAGAAAGAAAGAAAAGACGGGAAATACAGAAAAAAGAAAGAAAGAAAAAAAGAAAGAAAGAAAGAAAGAAAGAAAGAAAAGAAGGGCATGGTACGAAAGAAAAGAAAGAAAAGAAAAAAAAGAAAGAAAAAAAGAAAGAAAGAAAGAAAAGCAAGAAAAAAAAAGAAAGAAAGAAAAGAAAGAAAAAGAAAGAAAGAAAAAAAAAAGAACAAGATTTTGAAAGACGGGCATGGTAATAAAGAAAGAAAGAAAGAAAGAAAGAAAGAAAGAAAGAAAGAAAGAAAGAACAAGATTTTGAAAGACGGGCATGCTACGAAAGAAAAGAAAAAAGAAAAGAAAGAAAAGAAAAGAAAGACAAAATGATAAGAAAGAAAGAAAAGAAAGAAAGAAAAGAAAGAAAAAAGTTGAAAGAAAGAAGGCATGATGTTGAAAGAAAGGCAAGAAAAGAAGAAAAAAGAAAGAAAGAAAAAAAAGAAAGAAAGAAAAAGAAAGAACAAGATTTTGAAAGACAGGCATGGTAATAAAGAAAGAAAGAAAGAAAAAAAGAAGGAAAGAAAGTCGGGCATTGTACGAAAGAAAGAAAGAAAGAAAGAAAAGAAAGAAAGAAAAGAAAGAAAGAAAAAGAACAAGATGTTGAAAAGACGGGCATGGTACGAAAAGAAAGAAAGAAAGAAAGAAAGAAAGAAAAGAAAGAAAGAAAGAAAGAAAAGATTTTGAAAAACGGGCATGTTAAAAAAGAAAGAAAAAGAAAGAAAGAAAGAACAAATGTTGAAATACGGGCATAGTGTTAAGAAAGAAAGAAAAAAGAAAAGAAAGAAAAAAAGAAAAGAAAGAAAGAAAGAAAGAAAGAAAGAACAAGATTTTGAAAGACGGGCATGGTAAGAAAGAAAGAAAGAAAGAAAGAAAAGAAAGAAAGAAAAAACAAGATTTTTTAAAGACGGGCATGATAAGAAAAAAAAAGAAAGAAAAAAGAAAAGAAAGAAAAAAGAAAAGAAAAAAAAGAAAGAAAGAAAGAACAAGATTTTTGAAAGACGGACAGAAACAAAAAAAAAGAAGGAGGAAAGAAAGAAAGAAAGAAAGAAAGAAAGAAAAGAAAGAAAGAAAGGGATGCTTGAAAGACACCTGGTAGATCAAAAAGAGAAGGAAAAAGGAAGAAAAAAGAAAAGAAGGCAAGAAAAAAATGAATAATATCCTTAATAACAATAATAAGTAAAAAAGAAAAAGAAAGAAAGAAAATAAAAGACGGAAAGAAAAATAAAGAAAATAAAGTGAAGAAAAATATAAAAGAATGATTCTGAAAAAAGGAAAGTAAGAATAAAATATTTAACAAAAAAAAAACAGAGAAGGGAACATTCTTGAAGAAGCAATTACGTTCACCGAAATATATTAATGAACAGTTTATTCTCATAAAGACATTCGCGCATGCGTGCAAAAGAAAGAAATGGCCAAAAAGAAAGAATCCTTCAAGATTTTCCCTTCTTCTTTGTTAAGAAGTTCGTTCCATATCCCGCTACCTATATTTTTATTTCCTTTTCAAGATTTTGAATCTCTTGCCCATTAAGAAAAAGTGTAAACCAATGAAGAAATAGCAAAAAGAGGAAAGACAAGATTTTGAAGGTGTGTACAGAAGGACGCGTGAAAGAAACTTGAAATGAAAGAAAGAAAGGTGTGTAATACAATGAGAGGTCAAAATATGGAAGGAGAAAGAAGACATAAAATCAATAATATGAAAAACTCATTATGAATGCAAGAAGAGAAAACAAAGAAAAGAATAAAAAATGAAAAAAAGGAAGAGCTGCAAGAATACACCTGGAAGAGATCAAAATGAAAGAAAAAAAGGAAAGTAAAAAGAAAAGAAACAAAGAAAAAAAGAAATAATATCCTTTTAAAATACGGGCATAATAAGAAAGAGGAAAATAAACCACGGAAGGAAAATACGGAAAATATGTGAAAAAAATATAAAAGAATGATTCTGAAAAAAGGAAAGAAGAGAAAAATATTTAACAAAAAAAAAAACAAGAAAAGGGAACATTTTGAAAAAAGACATTATGTTAAGAAATATATTAATGAAAGAAAGAAAAACAAAAGCAAGTGCAAGAAAATGAACAAGATGTATCCTTCACTTTTTCCTACGAAAGAAAGAAAGAAAGTTCCATAAAGAAACCCTAAGAAAGAAATTTCCTTTTCTTTTCTCTTAAGACTTGCCCAAAAATGTGTAAGAAAGAAAAAAGAAATGAAATCGACAAGATGGAAAGAAAGAAAAGGACGCGTGATTTTTGAAATGATTGAATCAATGGTGTGTAATAAATGAAAGGTCAAAATAAAGAAAGAAAGAAAGAAAGACATAAAATCAATAATATGAAAAACTCATTATGAATGCAAGAAGAGAAAAGAGGACGAATAGAAAATATAAATGGACGAGTTGGGAAACAGGTAGGTTATGAGAAGAAAGAAAGAAAGAAAGAAAGAAAGAAAGAAAGAAAGAAAGAACAAGATTTTGAAAGACGGGCATGGTAAGAAAGAAAGAAAGAAAGAAAGAAAGAAAGAAAGAAAGAACAAGATGTTGAAAGACGGGCATGGTACGAAAGAAAGAAAGAAAGAAAGAAAGAAAGAAAGAAAGAAAGAAAGAACACGATTTTGAAAGATCAGTATGGTACTAATTAAAGAAAGAAAGAAAGAAAGAAAGAAAGAAAGAAAGAACATGATTTTGAAAGATCAGCATGGTACTTAAAAAAGAAAGAAAGTAAGAAAGAAATGAAAGAAAGAAAGTAAGAAAGAAAGAAAGAACACAATTTTGAAAGATGAGCATGGTACTAATTAAAGAAAGAAAGAAAGAAAGAAAGAAAAAAGAAAACGATTTTTGAAGATCAGAAAGAAAAAAGAAAGAAAGAAAGAAAGAACACGATTTTGAAAGATCAGCCTGGTACTAAAGAAAGAAAGACATGATTATGAAATATTGGCATGGTACTAACAAAAAAGAAAGAAAGAAAGAACGAAAGAAAAATCTACGATTGAGATACATATATATATATATATATATATATATATATACATGCACATATATATGAACATTAAGATAATCATGTTTGCGTAGCAATCTCTCTCTGATGCATGTTTACTTAAAAAAAAAAATTGACAAGATACTTCTGTTATGTTTTTTTATTAAATTAATCTCGTAAGCGAACTGAAGCTTCCTTTTAGACGGAAATGCCGGAAACGAACAATCATCGATTCAATTTCTACATTCACTGAATTCGTAAAAGAAAGCATTTCTTCGCATACAAGAGAAATACAATAAACACCTTAACAGAAGTACTCTGTCTTTAACGAAACAGATAGATAGATAGATAGATAGATAATGAACAGATTGAGATATATATATATACATATAGAGAGAGAAAGATAGAGAGAGTGAGAGAGAGATAATGAACACATAGATAGATAGATAGATAGATAGATAGATAGATAGATAGATAGATAGATGAATATATAATGAATAGATTGGGATATATATATATATATATATATATATATATATATATATATATATAGAGAGAGAGAGAGAGAGAGACAATGAACAGATAGATAGATATAGATAGATAGATAGATAGATAGATAGATAGATAGATAGATGTTGAAGGTAATGTTAATATTAGCTGCTTCTTAATAATGATACATTCGGCATTCTATAACCCAACAGCCATTGCTATTTTCGTTTGAAGTTTATAAAATGTTTCTATTGAAACAGGTTTTCAGCAGAATACGTACCTCAGGTCAACTAAATGTTATTGCTCTTTCGCGTACTGATTAGATCTTCCTTCCTAACTATTTGTTCGATGTTCTTTGAAGGGCCAACATCTTGATTACGTCATTATTTTCCCTTCGAATTACAAATGTTGTTAAAAGTCTTCAAATGATGTGGCTTTTAGATAGATAGATAGATAGATAGATAGATATGAAAAATTGAGATAGATATGAAAAAATATAATGTTTGTTTCTTTATTAACCCTCTCATTCTCTGTTTTGCCATCTATTTACATAAGCTTGTTAATTATCTTAATTAATGTTCCTCTGGCCTTCAGTATGCCCTGTGAGTATCAAATTCTCCAGGTCTTCCTTCCGCGTTATGTATCCCAGAAATTTCAGCTTTTCTTTCTGATTTTAAATACAAGTGCCCTTTTTGTCCCTACTGTACTTAAAATTTCCTCCTTGGTCACATTTTCTGCCCATGGTATTCTCAGTATCCTTCTGTAGAACCACATCTCTGTGGTTTTAAGTCTATTTGAGGAAATTGCCCAACATTCACTAGATGTGTTGATATTATAAAGTAATTTAGAACTCTTTTATGTTTTTTAAATTTTCCTGTTTTTTAATACTTTGCTTAGATCTTGGAAGGTATCTTTCAATATCCCAATGTAACTTCGGACTTCTGTGTCATATTTCCTGTCGCCTGTTATAATACTTTCTAAACAGTTCAATTTCTGCCGTCTTGATTTTGACATTCCCAACTTGTTGCACGCTTCTTGTGCTGTCTCTTTTGCTAACAACTATGCTTTATGTCTTTTTGACATTGATAATCCTTTTTTCCCACTTTCCTTTAGTATACTGTCTAGGAGTTCCTGTTTCTATGTTCCCCATCAACACTGTACCATCTGCGTATGTAATGTTGTTAAGATTATTATTATTATTATTATTATTATTATTATTATTATTATTATTACGAGCAGCCATACCCAGCTGGCCGATCAGAAAAAGGGTTCAATTAGAATGGAGAAAAAACAGCATCATGTTTCGATGTAACAGAGTCTATCGTCTTCAATTATTTTAAAGTGCTTTCATTAAAAGACATTTTGAATTAATGCAGTTACTGATACAACCGTAGTCTGTATTTATTCAATTGAAGTCAGCCAAGGACATGAAGGGTTAAAACAGGCTACATGAAGACCCACTTCAGACCACAAGTAATTTGGAGTTTTTGAAATTCAATTTTTCAGTGTGCTACCAGGGATGTAGAAGAGGATACATTTATAAAACAACTGTTAAGTTTGATGAAAATTGGTTGAAAGATCAACGAAAAATAAGAAAGGAACCAGCAAAAATCGCCATTTTTCGCTATTTACTCGGGTTTTCACAATATGGCTGGACTCAATTATCAAGTTAAATGACTGTTAAACAATCAACTTATTGTAGCCACAAGTGAGTGAAGTTTGTATTAGACTGCTTGAGATTTGAGGGAGTTTTTAGGCTAAAATTTGTTGAAATCGATTTGTGTTGAAATCGATTTTTCATTTTTCGCTGTTTTTCGCGGTGGCGTAGAAATAAAAATGAGGTATCGTTGAGCTCGTCATGATTTAAGTAACTTACATACCGAGTTCGAACGAAATCGAAGGGAGAAAGTTGAATTTATCGATTTTGATCGGCTTTATTGGTTATTGATATTTTTTTAAATATCGTTTTTTTTTGCGCTAAGAACCTATCTCTTACATTGTACAATGTATGTGCCAAGTTTGGTCAAAATCGGTTGGATGGATCTTGAGTGAAACAGTATCACACAGACAGACAGACATACAGACATCCTCTGTTTTATATAGAGAGATTATTATTATTATTATTATTATTGCCAGTCACTTAATCCGCTTATTTCAGCCTTCAGATATTCTTCTCCACAAAGATGGATCAACAGAGTCCAAAGAGTAAAGATCGTGTCAAGTGGATATTATGAAGCCAGCATTCTGGCTGTCGACCTCTGTTTCTCTTAGCGGCTGACTTTACTCCTAGGCATAACTTTCTCACGTCATGAGTTGATATTTTGATACGACCATAGTGTTTAAGTAGTCTTGACTTAATAACTGATGTGTTTGGATCAGGCTTGGTAATGTTGAATAGTTTATTGATGTCTCATGATGTGGTTTTGGAATGTAGCGAGCTTCTGAAGAGATTTTGTCGTCCAGTTAATACAATCGAGACCATATAATACAACTGCTAGGATTCAAGTGGCAATGATCTTAGCCTTCAAATGACGAGAAACTATTTTTTTCGATGTTAACAATTCTTTGTTTCTGTTAAAATGACTTTTAGTAGATTTCATTACAAGCAGAAGGAGTACAGGCGCCCAGATTCTTCGCACTGATGATTTCTATATAAATAGAAATCATCAGTGCGAGTATATATATATACGTTGAAACTTGACTAATGCATGGAATAATAATGCAACACAAAATGTACTTAGAACAAAATGTATTGAAACAAGAAAGTGTACACAATATTTACATATAGTCTTTTGTATATTCCTGGTAAGACCGTTCCTGGAGAATGTGTTGACTGAGTCGCAGTCGGGCAGAGTCTCTGGTTGAATCTCTTGATTCCTCCCTCTTTCCCGGTACCAACCATATTTATATGGTCGGTACTCCACTATGCAAATTAGGTGGATCCTACAACAATAATATATATATATATATATATATATATATATATATATATATATATAATCTGAGATCAAATACCACTCAAATAAAGATCAGAATCCGACAGAATGATAAAATAAAGAACAAATAGAAAACGTTTATTAATCATTGTCTCGGAGGAGGGCCATGATATCAAATTTATTATAACAAATTCTCTCAAGATCAGACAACTCTGTCCAGAAGGCTGCCTTGGTCTAGAAGTTTACAGAAATAATCTTATTTAACGTGGTTCTTTATTTTACTGCAAGGATAGCAAGATAACATTTAACACAATCAACAAAAATACAAATTCATTACTACAAGAGAAATAGTCAAATTATTTAAGGAGTCACTTGTTTCTGCTTATTATTTGCTAACTTCTTAAAAAGTATTTAATCCAACCTTTAGTCCATGTTTGGTCAGTACATTCAGAATATGTTGCAGATTCCTTCTAGAGTAACTTATAATAAATTATTTCGACCCCAGACAGCTCCGTCCAGAAGGCTTCTTTTCACTGGAGGTTAAAGAGAAAATCAACAAAATAAATGTTATATTATTTAAACAAGGTTCCTTCTTTTATTAAAAGAATAGCAAGATAACATTTAACACACTCAACAAAAAATACAAATTTCTTACTACAAAAGAAAAACAATTAGAAATTGCAAACTATTTAATGAGGCTTATTGTTTGATAATTTCTCCACATCAGGTGAAATATTTGTCGATGATAAGAACCAAACATCATTCAGGTGGACATTATCAAATCTTGTTCTTAAACGACTCTTTGTAGATTTCAGTTCAGTGAATTTTGACTTAAAGTCTTTGTACTTGTGCATTAATTCTTGCGTAAAATTTAATCAACTCGATCATCGGTGAAAATCCTTATAAAAAAAAGTATACTAAT